ACCTCCCACGGCACGCACCGAGCTCGCAGTCGTCGCTGCCCGGAGGAGGTGTGGACCGACCCTCCGAGTACACACACGCGCGCACGCGGCGGCCGGCGCGCTGGCCCAGGAGGTTTGCAACAGCCCGCCCTCCGCGTGCTCAAGCTCGGCCCCTGCTGCCCCGACAGGTGTGGAGCCCATGGTCCCCGCTACATTCGGAGCTGTGCGGCACCGCCTCCCACCACACGCCCGGAGCCGCGGTCCCGCTGCCCCTCGGAGCTCTATACGCCTCCACCTAAACGCCAGGAGCAGACAAAAACTTGCTCCGTTCTTAGATGTGTTATAACGTATTGAGTAGAGTCACCTCTACACCCAGGAATATGCAAGAACACCTTCCTTCGAACAATATGCTAAGTGCAGCCCGCAGTCCCCGCTGCCCCGTGGAGGTGCCTAACATCCAACTGTAACGCTCCCTGATAACACCTAAAACACGCTAAGACTAGGTCCTCCAGCACATCAGGGACACAAGAACACCTGCACGGCTCAGCACGGCAAACGTGAGGCTGGACATGCTACTTGCTACCAGGCTTCGTCCACCTTTATTTTACCTGACACTTTCATGGAACTTACTGTGTGCCCAGGGTTTGCACTAAGTGCTTAGCGAATTCATTTAATCCTAAGAACTCTATGAAGTAGGTGCTATTAGCGTTGTCATTTATGGATAAGGAAACTGAGGCACAGAGAAATTAAGCTCAAGATCACATAGATAACTGGAGGAGCCCAGATTCATTCCAGGAGTACATGCTCTTAACTCCCTTTCTACTGAACAGCACTGAGCATCTCCAAAACAGTGATGATGGTAATAAATAACGTTGACAGCATATCCGATTAGCCCTTTGTGGTGTCCACATCTTAGCCTCACCCCACCTGTGACAGGAATACCTCAGTCACTCCTACCCTTAGGGTAGGTAAGGGGAGAGAAGGATGTGACCGAGGCAGAGAAAGAGGCTAACTGCTCAACAAACAATAAAGGATTCAGGATCATACAAAACCCGGGCAGGTAACTTCCATTGCCAGCATGTTCTTTCCTGTATAGTAGCCTCCACCAGCCTCTGTCAGTCTCCAGAGCTGATTCAGGTTGATGTTCTTAACACCTTTCTTCCTCTATCAACACTCTTCCTGGTCTAAACTGAATTTAAAAATCTGCGTAAACATTTTTGACACAATAATGTTTGTACAAGAAAACCCCCCAAAAACCCACATAGTTAATTGCTGTGTATTCCAAAGATGCAATTCTGTGGAGAAATTGAAACCCTTGTGTAATGCTGATGGGAATGTAAGATGGTCCAGCCATTATACAAAACAGTACGGAGAGTCCTCGAACAACTAAAAATAGAACTACTATATGATCCAGCAATCCCACTCCTGGGGATACATCCAAAAGAACCGAAAACAGGATCTTGAAGAGATCTGCACCCCCATGTTCATTGCAGCATTATTCACAATAGCCAAGAGATGGAAGCTGCCCAAATGCCCATCGATGGATGAATGGATAAAGAAAATGGGGTATATACACACAATGGAATATTAGCCTTAAAAAGGAAGGCAGTCCTCTCACATGCTACAATATCAATGAAACTTGAGGATGTTATGCTGAGTGAAATAAACCACTCACAAAAGGACACTGTATGATTCTGCTTAGATGTCTAGAATAGTCAAAATCACGGAAACAGTAGGTAGAACAGTGGTTGCTAGCAGGTAGATAGAGGAGGAAATGGGGATATGATGATGTTCATGAGTATAGAATTTCAGTTTTGCAAGATAAAAAGTTTTAGAGATCTGTCACACAACAACGTAACTGTAGTTAACACCACTGAACTGTATACTTAAAAGTAGTTAAGAGGGTAAATTTTGTATTATGTGGGTTTTTCTTTTATCACAGTTAACTTTCTTAAAAAAACAGATGCAGTCCTATTTGTTAAGAGGATATTTCCATCATAGTGAACTTTTTAAAAGATGCAAGCTTCCAGCTATGCTGGAATATCTTGTTTTTTTTGGGTTTTTTT